GAATCTCCCTCTGCCCTGTTTCTCATTTCCTGGACCCCTCGTTGTTCATGTGGTGATTTGGGGTGAGAGTTTCCATCAGGATTATGTGGGGAGCTTGTTGGAAAAATCATTCCAATGCCACACAGCTTCAACAACTGAGGCTCAGAGAGTTTGGCCCCTGCCCTTGGGGACATGTGTTGAGGGTGGGTTGTAGAGAGGGTGGTGTTTGAAATAGGATCAGTGGCATATAAGAATATAAAACAGAGTAAGAGATAGTGGAGGTGGAGGGACAGGAGAGAGAGAACACACGGAATTGGAGGGGACACAAGCATAGTCCTTTGCTGGGGGCCTCTGCATTTCTGATTGGAGCCTGAGAGACAGGGCTTCATTGGGGTGATACCTTGGAGAGTTTTGAGCTTGCACTCTGAAGGCAAACCTTTTTTTTTTAACCAACCATTAAGTTGACTGTGCTTCATGGTGACTGTTCTGATTACCTAGTGCCACTCTGACAAGAATATATATCATAAATGTGATGGTCTTAACAAAAAAGAGTTTATTCTCTCACAGTTTGGAGGCTTTAATTCCAAGTTCAAAGTGCCAGGCTCCGGGGGATGGGTGAAAGCCCCTCAACCTTGGGGTTCAGCTCTGCCTTCTGCTCCCAGCCCACTGGAGCTAGAGGTGTTTCTTCACTCAGACAGCTGCTGGCTGCTGAGGCTGACAAACCCAAGATTGACAAGTGAAAAGGCACAGTCCCAATGTTACCAAACCACACGGCAGCCCATTAATTTAAGTCCATTGTAAGTACTAAGGTTGGCAGAGCGTGGCAGGCTGCTGAACAATGACACAGCTACATGCAGGGTTCAAGTGTCCCATAAACCAGAGACCATTCCTAAAGCTGCTTCTTATATACGGGAAGCAGACCATATACCTAAAGGCAGCTACTCAGCTGCTTGTGGTAGATCCCACCATGGAGTTGATTGCCAGTCTCTTCATGGGGAATAACTACCACCAGCTGCCCAGCCACTCAACCAGGCCCAGCCATGTTGACACACAACATAACCACCACAGCGACCCCACGTCCATGTGTGTCAGGTAGAAACGTGTTCTGTAGGGCTTTCAGTGGGTGACTTTTCAGAAGCAGATCACTAGGCCTTTCTTCTGAGATAACCTCTACATGGATTTGAAACCCCAGACTTTCAGTTAGCAGCAGAGCATGTTAACTGTTGTACCACCCAGGGACTCCCTCATGGCAAACTTATTGTTTGTCATGCAGTCAGTTCTGACACAGTGACTCCATCGGGCAGAGTAGAACTCTTCCAGAGGGTCTTCTAGGCTGTAAACTTTTTGGGAGAAGATTGTCAGATCTTTCTTCTACAGAGCCACTGGATGGGTTCGAACCTTTGACCTTTTGGTTAGCAGCCAAATGCTTAACTGTTGTGCCACCAGGGTCCCGTGAAGGCAAACTACTGAGTTTGAATTCTGGCCCCACCATTAACTAGCTGTGGCCCCAGGCCCACCACTGAAATCTTACCTACCTCAGCTAATCCCTCTGTAAATGGGAAATACCTTCAAAGGAGTCCCTCTTTAAAGCATGCAGAACAGCCTTGGAGAGTCAGTGTTCAGGAAATGTCAGCTAGTCAGACTGCACAGCAAAGTTGCTACAAAGACTTGGTGTTTCTTCAACCTGCAAAGGGTCTGCCCCTTGAGGAGGCATCATCTCTGACTCCTCCTCGCTTCCTTGCCCATCCCTCCCCGTGGCTGTGGTACAGACCTGTGTTTGGTCTCCACCCACCAGGATTATGCTGAAGAGCTAGCTCTGGGCTTACAACCTGCTGTCTGGGAAAGCTCCTGGGGGCCATAGAGACAGGTTGCAGGTGTTGCTGACTGTGCTGCCCTTTCTCTCTCTGCCAGGGATGGTGCTGTGAGTGACTGACCCCCTCGGGAGAAGGCCTGAGTGACTGACCCTCTCTGGAGAAGGCCTGTCTGCACCCTTTGCCACATGGAAGCCCAGCCAGACAACTGAGATTTCTGCAGGGCCATTTCCAGCGTACCTCAACTGCACAGGGGCACTTCCCCCACTGCCTCCCCCCTTCAGAAGCTTCCAGAACCTCTGAGGTGGGAGGAACCAATTCTGCTTCATGTTTTGGGGCACTTGCTAGCTATGGCGCTTGTTCTCGGCTGCCTCCTGCTGCTGGGGCTGTGTGGGAAGACCATGTCAGCAGAGCCATCATCGACATCAGACCGTTCTAAGAGTTTGAATTTTCATTTTCCTGAAGTGAACTATGAGACGAGTGGCTTCTCCAGCCCAAAGCCCATGGCAGCTCTCTTTACAATGGTGGACAACTTTCTCAGTGTGGTCCAGCCCCATGAGTTCCCTGAAGGTAAGTGTCGACGATTGATCTTCAGACACACACACACATAGTATTTATTGATTTCTAATGACAATACAGTCAGTATATGAGGTAGTCAGTATTTAAAGTCTGAGGTTCCAAGTGATTGAATTGCACTGGAGCAGAAAATCTGTAGACAAAAATTCACAAGTTTTATACCAGTTTAAGTAGGTTGTCAGGAATGTGATTTATAAGAAATCAAATCTCAAACTATGTTGCTATATCAGTTTTTAAATTTATCCTTCTGTCCCTTGTCACTGCCCCTGCCCCTGCCCCCTTTTTGATTAGAACAATGGATTATTCTCAAATACATATCAAAAGTAAAAGCTAAAAATGCAAATTGTCCCTCATCAAATGAGAAGTTAATAATTATCTGCCATCTCCCCATCTGACTAGCACTTAAACATGTAACTTTCCTCTCTCGCCATAGACTGCATTTTAACATTGCTTAGGGCAAAGGCAGGTCTATCCAAACCAAACCTGTCTCCTTGGCTAGCTTTTGCTTCCCTTCTCAGAGTTTGGGTGTGAGGGAGGAAGGCAAGCCCTTTGCTGGAGCTTTTTAGCACAGTGCTGTATTTTTTATACCCAGTACTATTTGCCACTTGGCCATTTCAGCCTTGTTGACCCTATTCATCTGTACTCAGAAGTTTCAGGGTATGTGTTTGCAAGGACAGAATTATGAAGTGAAGATGGTCTATGAGAATTATTTGCTACTAGGTTTGGCAGCCTAGATTTTTGGCTTAATGTTAGACTTAACTAAGTGTGTCCTTTAATTATAAACTATAAAGACTTGAATACTGTCACTGATTACTAAAAAGTATAAAATTTTTTGTAGTTTTCCATAGCCATTCAGCTACTATTTATAAGAGGCTTAATTGTGTGTGTGCAAGTAGGTGTGTGTGCACGCATGAGAGAGAGAGAGACAAGGTGTGTGTATGTGTATTTAGTGAATTTCACCACTTGTTTATATTATTGACAGATTATATATTTTCCTTAAAATACAATTTTAACATTTAATCTTTTTATATTTACTAGTCATAGTTTAAGCATTTAGAACAGTTTGAAGTGTTGTTGTTGTTGCTGTTAGGTGCCATTGAGTCAGATCTGACTCATAGCGACTGTATGTACAACAGAACTGAACGCTGCCCGGTCTTGCGCCATCCTCACAATCTTTGCTATACATGAGCCCATCATTGTAGCCACTGTGTCAGTCTCATTGAGGGCCTTCTCCTTTTTAACTGACCCTCCACTTTACCAAGCATGATATCCTTCTCCAGGGAATGGTCCCTTCCGACCACATGACCAAAGTTTGAAGTGTAGTTGTCAGTTTTTCTAAGTTTCAATTCAATTCAGTGGAATAAATGACTCAGCCCTGATTCTTTTGAAGAGAATCCTGAATCAATATTGCTTGCTGTTTATGTCATGCCCTAAAAGGGTAAATTTGGAAATCCAATGGTGGAAGTGAAAAAAAAAAAAAAGCTTGTTAAATGTACACAAATGCACTGTTGTGAACTGACCGGTTCTCTCTTTGTGTATTTGTAGGTTTTGTATGAACAGTATTAAATCAGGAAATACCTATTGATGATTTAAATCCTTTTTTCTTTTAGGTTAAGAGCATAACATTTAGCTGTTTCATATGAATTTACAATGACTTCTTAAGAAAGATTGGGAAACAGCCCATGTGTTACTATTCTAAGACATATTTCGTAATACATTAATCCCATAATCTCTTTCCATATGTTCTGTTTTGCTCCCTGTGGATTTCATAGACAGGGTCCCTCATAAGTACTTTACAAGAGAGAGCAGCATTTTTTAAAACCTTCATTCAAATGATCAGGTTGGAAGACAGCCTTTAGCTCCACACAAAACATTTCAGGATTTTCAGACCCACCACCATTAGTGTAGCAGGCGGTGTTTGACAATCCTAATGCAATCTGAGGGGGTTAGCCTACTTTTTCTTGACCTTCATCAATACTTACTACCTTGCAGAAGGAAATTCATAGAGTTTTAGCAGTAGATCAGAGAATTACTACCCCTTGACAACAACAACAAAAAAAACAATGCTGATTACGTTGTTTAAATAATGTTGAAATTAACAGATGACATCTGAGAGTGTTCATTTTCTTCCACAATTTACATTCTTTTGCCCAGTTATTAGAGTTCATAATAATCTTATCATGTCCACTGGGTGTTTTGCAACATAAGAA